TTTTTAATATATATTAAATATAAAGTTATAACAGACTTAACATAGATATTTTAAATTGTTTAACTAATATAAAAATATTTTGCAAAATTGAAAAATCCAGTAAAGAAACCAAATGGTAACAACAACTTTTTGAACTTAAACAAGGAAGTAGTACTGTTGATACTTATATTGCCAAGTTTAAACACTTTAAGGATAGAGTTAAAGATCTATTTGAAACTTTTTTAATTTAACAATTTATTAAAAAATTAAGACTTGAATTTGCCATGCCAGTACAAGCCTCTGCTCTCACTAATTTAGCTACTGCTATTGAAATAGCAACACTCTAAGAAACAGAAAATTTATAACTACTAACACTAATACTAAAGATGCTATTACTTAGCTTACCAACCAAATTGCTAAATTAAGTATTAATTTAGCCCAACAACAACAAGTGCAACAACCCCAGAAACTATTTATACTGCTAAAAATAAACCTATCTTGAACAAAAGTAAAGCCTGATGTTTTTATTATAGAAACTTTGGTTATTATATTGCTAACTGCTATAAAAAGAAAAGTATGATCAAAAGAATAAAAGAAATAGAAATTACTATCAAAACTGAAACTTCTAATTTTCATATTATAAGGAATAAGATAATCAAAGCTACAAAAATGATAGAAGTCAAAATAGAAGTTAAAGCAGATCCAGAGATAGAAACTACTATTCCCAAAGTGATAAAAGTAAAAAAAGTCAAGGAACCAAGATTAAACTGCTCTCTTTCTCCTTATTATTGAAATGTAAATATGGCTAAAACCAAGCCTAAAACTACTTGAACATAAAAAGACTTATTGGCTAACTATTAACACTACTATCAAGAAAAACCAGGCCAAGATCTATAAACAGATCAAAAACTGAATTCGAACTCTCTCCTATAGATCCTTGTACCAATTTTTGAGCTAAAGAAAATATACAAAAATAACAACAAGTATACTAGCTAGCAAGGCTTCAAGATTTAAGCAAAAAGAAGCAGCACAAAAATCTACCTAGAGGTATTTAGAAACACATCTGATCCAACTCTACGAAAAGAGCTATAGAAACCAAATAGATAACTTTCATAAAGAAATTTTAGAAAAACAGAATTTTTGAGGAATCGGCCTTGACCCTGTAGCGCAGATCACTGTAACAACAAACAGATATGTAATACGTCAAGCCTTCAAAAAAGTAAACAATATAACCAATCAACAATCGGCATTATATAAACAACAATCTTCACGTGCACTAATATCTATCTAACATCACGTGTAAAATAGAAAGTTCTACAAAATCGGTACAAAATGGCAAATCTAGAGGATTTTAGAGATTTTTTTAAACAGACAGAAAAGGAAAAAAGTACCCTATATAACAAATAGCATGCAACAATACAAAATGAAGATGTACACATAGCAGAATACTTTGGCACAAGTGACTTTACATAATCGCAGTTGTATGCAATATAATCAAATATTTCAAATAGGCTAGAAGCAAAGAAGCTAGAGATCAGCCTTTGTCTGAAGAAGAGAAGAAACTTCTTGGGCATGATACAGACATTGAAATGTGTCTAAATACATACATAAAGAAAAAAAATAGCCCAATTACGATGGATTTCTGCTACACTAATGCAAATAAAACAAGCAATTTACTAGTTACAAATACAGGTGTCAATAATATCTTAGCAAAAAGCAAAGAAATCCCACACAAGAGAAATTTGAGAAACAAGATAACAATAGTGTTATAACAGAAAACGATATCAAAAAAATAAAAACTATCTAGTTAGAAAATAAGGTGGATATGACAGACTATGGCCTTGAAAGACAGATTATCGAAAAGTTATCAGAGAGAGAAAGATACTAAAACAAAAGATATAGCAAAAAACAAAAAAGTCAAGAAGATATTTACAGTTCAATATGGGCCCCAAGAGTGAGATTCACTATACAACAGCATACGAATGAATGATATTACTTTTTCACAATATAGAACATCCCAAAACACACAAGTAAAACTGAGATTAAGCTATATCTTGAGCACTATAGCACAACAAACGTTATAGAATGGCAACAGGGCCAAAGAGAGAAAAAGCAGTATATGTAAGCATAGTATCCAATACAAGAAAGGGAACCTATCCACTAAACGGACAATAGTCAGTACAATTAAGACAAGAAAAGATGTACAGAATAACACCAGGAAAATTTGACAAAGCTATGCTTGATAAAAGAGATAGGTTCAGATGTACTATTAACAAGGTACTCAGAACAGTTTGCTACTATGACAACTAAGAAAAAACAAGATACAAGCAGTGTATACGATAAATAATAGTAATGGTCACCAAAGTAGAAAAGCCTTTGTCTATTTTAAATAAGAAGAGGACATGATTTGGGCTCTTAAGTTGACCATATTCTACTATAATAAAAAGCTGGAATGGCAAATATTATTACAAGAACACTATAGAAAAGGCAATTCAAAGAAATAGCAACACAAGGGATCAGAACGATTTCAAGACAGAAAATGGTCCAAACTGGCCTAGGAGGAAAAAGCTGCAGGTCTGAAGACTGAAGAATCTGAAAAAGAAAAAAAGGAAACATTCTCAAAAGTAGGAGAAAGAAGAGAAAAAGACCCAAATAAGGGTAGAGTATTACAAAACAAGAGTGGCACAAGGGCAAAGATTAACATAACTAGACAACCTTTGATGGCAAGAAACCAAGATAAGGAGAACTCTTACCCACATGATCAACAAGAAGAAAAAAAGCAGCTGGGTAAAAATACAAAAGGGAAAGAAAGAGAAGACTCAATTTTCATCGCACTAGAACAAATTCTAAACAGGCTAGAAAGGCTTGAAACCCAAAATTCAAGAGCATATACTGGAGCCGCAGAGGCCACCTCTGCAGATCGCTTCTAAGAGCGCTATAGGCGAATCTATATATGAAGCTGAGGTGTCTAGAAAAAAAGTGAGAGAGTTAATAGAGAATATTTCAGAAGATAAAAACCAACTCCCATAGTTACAAAAAGAAAAAGAAAAGAAGTTAAAAGAAAATGATCTAGAAAAGAAACTCCTAGAGCCTGAAGAAAGAAAGAAAAACATATATGACTATTTTGGAGTTATAAATATAGGGTTCCACAATATTAATAGTTTAAAGAACAATAAGAACAAGCTAAAGGCAATTATAGATTATGTAAAAGAGAAAAATATAGATATATATATATATATTTTTTTTTAATGTTAAAGGTGAGACCATGCTCTTATCTTTATTAAACTTAATGAAAACTTTTTA